AAAACCAATTCGCTATCTGTATTTTAACTAGTACTTTACTCTTGTACGTATGGGGTGTTCACGTTCGGGTCGGTTGAAAAGGATGAGCACAGAAATCTCATTGTGCATATTTTGAAAGCACATAAATTGAGGAATATTTTAAGACTAAAACCAATTCGCTATCTGTATTTTAACTGGTACTTTACTCTTGTATGTATGGGGTGTTCACGTTCGGGTCAGTCAAAGGGGATAAGCACGAAAATTTCATTGTGCATATTTCGAAAACACATTAATCAAGAAACATTTTAAGACAAGAATTATTTTGCTTTCTGTATTTTAACTGATACTTTACTCTTATATCAGTAGTATATAGATCCTTTTTTTACGTATATCTTTTAAACTATTACAGATAAACTAATTTGGTTTGAGACATTTAAAAGCACATAAAAAGCACATAATTGTACTGTATTAAGTACTTTATTTTTTAATATAATTTTAATGAGTAGGGGTGCTAGCTTATGTTAAGCCAGCATTCCCACTTTTAATTGCAATTTTCCATGAAACCGTTCGAGCACAAAAAACGTGAATAGAACACATAATTAGCACATAAAGAGCATTTAATTTCTACATTTGTGTTATTCTGCTTTTTTGCGGAGGGGGAGGGGTGCTAACTTAACAGACATAATATATTTTGATACATAGACTAAATCACTGAAGATGTTACAAATATTTCTAAAGTTGAATGAGAAATTCTTATTTTTCAGCAACTGTTTGGTAAAGATCCGGAAAGATTAATAATCTGTTTAAAAGGAAAGAATAAGAATTTGGAAAAAAATAGTAAAAAAGTTATATTAAACTAGAGCACCTGTATCGCATTTCCTAAAAAAGAGTTAGAAGGCACCTTAATTTCCCTTATCCGAAGGTTGACTTCAAAAATCCCTTTCTAGGATCCCTTCCTAGAATTAATACTTTCTGAGATAATTGGCAGAGATAATTTGCAGAAATAATTGGCACACGAAATAAATCTCATAATAAAACCTATATATGTATATGTATATGTATATATTTGTTCATATAAATAAAACTACTTTTTTATGGTAATTAGTGTAGTGCATTTTATTGAAAATAAATACACACTCCCTGAAATAAAAATAAAATATCAATAATAACTTTAAATAAACGTTAGAATTAATATTACGGTAATCTTAATATAATATTGTAATAAAGTTGATAGTTTGTTTAAATTTTTATCTCAAAAACGTTACAGGAATGATAGAAAAACCTTAGCAAAATGTTATTTGCAACGTTATGGCACTCCCATTTCAACATTACTGAAATTTCGGAATCGTGGTCAAAGTATATTCATAATGATGTTCTATACAACATTAAGAACTACATATTTAACAACATTACAAGTTCTAGAATATCGTTGCAATAACATTGTATAATAATGATTTTTTGCTTACTGGGCTGTTTCGTCCGATTCCGATGACGATTTAAGGAACATCTGTTGCGTGTGTTCGAAAAACATTTCATTAACTTCTAATAACAAACAATGCATCTTATGCAACCGTATGGCTCATGACGAATGTGTGCGCACATCTGATCGCGAGGTTATGTGTATAAATTGTTTTTTTAGACAGTTCAGAAAAAGATAATTAAAAGTTTAATCTTTTTTTTTCTCATTATTTTAAATAATTGTTTACTTTATTCCGACTTTTTGTTTCTAATACACAATGTCTTTTCATTTGATAAACAATGTATTTTTATTTTTAAACAATAAAAAAATAAGTTCCAGATCAAATTGTGTCGATCAAACAAAGTGTTGAGTTTGCCCCGGCGGGGTGTCGAGTTCGCCCCGTCATTTTTCAATTCGAAAATTTGTCTTTGCGTCATTTTTCCTTTCCTGGCGGCAAAACAAAGCGACGTACAGCAAAACTTCCTGAATCAATTTTGTACCTGAAGAAACACTCTTTAAATATATATCATTGAATTTGCCTAAAAATTTTAATTAAATATTAAAAATTGCCTTTGAAAAAATAGTATCAGCTTAGCCGCGGTCTCCCCTAATCGAAGTATTGTTTAAACTGTTTAAAAGCAAACTATTCACTACATTTGTGCAAACACTGCTAGAACTATATATTTTGTTTTGTGTCAAAAGTGACTCAAATAAAGTGTTCTTTTTTTCTCTTTTACTTTAACACGTGGTTCACGCTTATTCCAGTGAAATCCATATATCCCAACAGTTGCAATTATTTACACGTAAGTTATATCGACTTTTGTATTTTATGACGCGTAAAGTAAAAGACCCCGCATCATTCTTGTGGGAAAATGTTTTTCTGCGGATTTGGCTAATTTTTGGATATGTTGTAGTTCTCGTCAACAAATGTCTCAATGGGCACAACTTGATCCTATGAGCCGTTTCCGCGATATAAGCCTTGGAAGGTCCAGATTTAACATGTAAAAGTATAGGCCCGACTCGATTGTATATGACCCTCGGCCTAATGTGTGTGTGTGTGTGTGTGTGTGTGTGTGTGCGTGTGTGTGTGCGTGTGTGCGCGCGTGTGTGTGTGTGTGTGTGTGTGTGTGTGTGTGTGTGTGTGTGTGTGTGTGTGTGTGTGTGTGTGTGTGTGTGTGTGTGTGTGTGTGTAGGTGTGGGTATGGGTGTGGGTGTGGGTGTGGGTATGGGTGTGAGTATGGGTGTGGATGTGGGTGCGTGTGTGCGTGTGTGCGTGTGCGCGTGTGTGTGCACTGAACCAAAACTGTACATGAATGCAATAAAAGCATTCATTGTAGTAATAAAATATTTATTAAAATTGGTCCAATGAGTTATTTTATTATCATAATGATTTAGGGTTTATAAAAGAATAAGTTGAATATGAAACTATTACTACAATTCATTGTAACTTTTAATTGATAATATAATATGACATTGAATACTTTTCATTAACAAATAATTGGATTTATTAATATAACAAATCACTGTTTATTAAAATACTGTACTCAAGTGTATTATAAATTAATGTAACATTTAATTAAACCAATAAAAAAGTTTATTCTTCCAATGAACGTGTTCAATGGAATAAAAAAACTCATTCATTAAATGTATACCATAAAATTTCACAGAAGTGATAAAATACATTTATCTCATATTAACGTAATTATTTTATAAATTAATAAAATTTGTACATTAGCTCAATAACCGAATTCATTGAACCAATGTATCGAAATATCAAAGAAGGATTTTTCATTGACTCAATAAACTCTTCCGTTATTATAATAAATCCATGGCAGATTTTTCAATGTACATATTTATTGTTACAATGAATTATAGTAATAGTTTAATATTCAACTTATTTTTTTTTTAAACCTTAAATCATTATGATAATAAAATAACTCATTAGACCAATTTTAATAAATTTTTTATTACTACAATGAATGCTTTTATTGCATTTATGTACAGTTTTTGTTCAATGCGCGCGCGCGCACACGCACACACACACACACACACACACACACCACACACACTAGACCGAGGGTCACATATATCGAGTCGAAAAGCTTATTAACTTTTACATGTCAAATCTGGACCTTCCAGGGCTTATAGCGCGGAAACGGTTCATAGGATCAAGTTGCGCCCTTTGGGACATTTGTTCAGAATGATGAGAACTACAACATATCCAAAAATTAGCCAAATCCGCAGAAAGACATTTTTTCATAAAAATGGTGCGGGGTCCTTTATTGAGATTTGTACTGTGATTTTTGTAATTTTTTATAATGAAGATATAGTTATCAGCTAAGGCTAGTAAGAATGTGTCAAATATGTAGAATAATGTAGTAAATTATTTATAATCTTATTTATAATCTATAAGATATTAACTAATTTTTTATTAGAAATTGATTTTTATGTACATACCTTGGAACATGACGGTTGATGTACCTTGGAACGCTATTTCAAAAAATTGTGCAAATTAGAAATTTGCACTTGGCTTCCACATAGAGGAAGCTTTAACTTCCGCAAATTTGGAGATATCGATCAATTTCTAATTTTATTATATTTTTCAGTCTTTTTTCTACCCCTATTTCTACCCCATATATAATTCTTTTAAATTCGGTTGATTAGACTTAGCCTTATACGCGATCAAAATCTCCGAAATTTCAAACGTCTGTAACTCCAGAACTAATTAACCAAATCTTAATTAATTATATATCAAATAGAGGTAGAAAAAACTGAAAAATTTAATAGAATTAGATATAGATCGCTATATCAAATATTGAAAAAGCTATAGAATAAAACACACTTTTCTAAAAAAAAAATTCCAATAAAATCTATACCGGTCAACCGATTTTAATAAAATTTGAGGAGAACATACTTTTTATGATACTCTATTTGTGTGAAAAATTTCAATCCGCTATCTAAAAAATTGTAGAAGTAGATGCGTGTACAAAAAATCCGTACATACACACCCACACACACACACACACACACACATACATACATACTTCCGGACATTTTTTACTAATACGATTTTTCGACATTTTAGAACATTCTAAACCTATTTCCATCAAAATCTCGAAAAATTTTTTTTCACCATCACAAAGCTTCCTCTATGAGGAAGCAAAAGTATATTAGCTGATTGTTATCTTTATATAACTTTGTTATTTGTTTAACTACAATTTTTTCCATTTTTACTGACAGCTAGAGTAATTGGAAGCTATTTGTTTGTTTTATAGCTACCATGTCACATAAACGTGGAATAAAAAGGCTAAGGCCGGATGATATCTACTCTGATATCTGCTGTAAATGCAGTTTTAGGAACTGAAAGTATCTTACTGACAATAAGAAAAGCAATAAAAATGTGTAATGTAAAATTTTATTGTTTGATAAAAGATGCTTAAATAATTTATTAGAAGTAAGCGTTGATATTATTTTATTCTATTTTTTTTTTTTTTAATTTTTTTATTTTATTTTTTTTATATTTTATTTTTTATAAATATTTTATTTATGACGATAATGATTTATCTCGTTAGATTTGATTGTCATTTTTAGTTTAATAATTGACCAAGATGTAACTAAATTTAATAAAATATTATATTTCTTTGAAAAGAATCACTTTTTTTGTTAATTAAAATTTTTCATAGGTGTTCCAATTAAGGAATAAAACAGAGTATTCTAAGGTACATCAAGCTGCTGTACCTTGAAACAAAATTTCCAATTATAAAAAATTGCTGTATTCTCTTACCAAATGATAATAAAAATTTAGGTTTTTTATACCAAAATATATACATGTACTTTAATAATATATTTTTTCAAAATTTTTTAATTAAAACTATTACTACGTTTACGCGAGCGTTACTTCTGTAGTAACTTACGATAATTCGTTCGCGTAAACGGGATTTTGTAATAACTTTTACGATAATTTACGCGTAAACGAGTGAATTATCGTAAGTTATTACAGAATTAACGTTATTACTCGCGTAAACGTAGTATATGGCTCAAAAAAATCAAAAACTTAAAAATGTTCGGGGGTACAGCACCTTTCCCTACAATAACTGAGTAAAAAGTAAACTAAAAAACTAAGTACATCATATACAACCGTATATGATGTACAATCAAATTAAAGAAAACGTCATTAAACGATCAGGGACTAGAGCTTGATTGCCTAATAATATTATTCGCGTGAATTTTACGTGCAATTCTTCGCATTGGCAAACCACACGCCGTTATTTTCGGACTTGAAACGCAGTCTTAATCAAAGTTATTAGAACAGCACAATCACATATACATATATATAATTAAATTTATAATCAATT